ATTTTATGAGATCCACAACTTTTCAACCACACATTTCATCAATTTCTATCAAAATTTACTAAAAATTTGATTTTAATCCCCACCAAACAAGGGCTAGGAATATCTTGTTCAATTCTTTTTATTTTGAAAGAATAGTATTGTGAAATGTGGAAATTTAAGGTATGATCAGTTATTGTTTTTCTAGACAAGCCATAACATAAGTAGTTGAATTATATTAAATGAGTTTCATTGATGAATGGTAGGTTCACTTGTAAGTAGGACCACATTTCAATTTTAAGCTAATGCCAATAAGCCGTATTTATAGAATGGGAAAAATAACCCAAATGACATGACAATTTGTTAACATAATGGGTTTTTTAAACTCGCTCAATATAAATTAGATATTCTAATTTTTCGAACTAGAAAAATTTCTCGTTTATGTTTAAATAGAGAAATATAACATTCTAAGCATTGAATTTGTTAAGTTTGTTTCTCGAATCTCGTACACTTTAGGATATTGAACATATCTTAAATAGTTAAATATAAATACAACTTACTTTGAAATTATCTTCTTGTAAAAATTGACGATAAAATATATATACAACAAGATGAATAAAGGCCGTTGGATTACACGCATGTGGGCTCATCCTCTTGTCATAGACATTAACCAATCACATCCTTGAATGCTAATACCATTTTTATATCCGTAAGGCCTGGGTTGCGGCCTTGGACTTGATCAAATAGGTTGGTGGCGGCGGCAGTGAATTGTCCCGTTAATTGCATAATACAAGATTTGTATCGGCTCTCCCATGGGGTTCGCGTGTAATGGAGTCGGTCCAGCTTTGCCTCACGGGGGAAAATGGGTCGTTCGTGCTCAAGGGTCGGTTCAGCTTCACCTCGTGTTAGTGTACAGAGCGTGAAATCGCCGAACCATTTGCCATGCAGGTTGGTTGAAACCATGTGAGGGTCCTTGTGTAGATAAGTGTAACAAGTATTGTGAAATGTTGAAATTTAAGGTATGATCAATTATTGTTTTTGGACACGAGTCATAACTACGACATTAGGTCGTTGTTTGGTTTGAGTTAAAATTTCAAGTCAAATTCAATAATTAATTTTAACCACATATTTTATGGAAACCACAACTTTGTAACCATACATTTCATCAATTTCTATCAAAATTTACTAAAAATTTGACTTTAATCCCCACCAAACAAGCGCTAGGAATATCTTGTTCAATTTTATTTATTTATTTATTGTTTTTGAAAGAATAGTATTGTGAAATGTTGAAATTTAAGGTATGATCAGTTATTGTTTTTCTAGACGAGTCATAACATAAGTAGTTGAATTATATTAAATGAGTTTTATTGATGAATGGTAGGTTCATTTGTAAGTAGGACCACATTTCAATTTTAAGCTAATGCCCATAAGCCGTATTTATAGAAATGGGAAAAATAACCCAAATGACAATTTGTTAACATAATGGGCTTTTTAAACTCACTCAATATAAATTAGAGATTCTAATTTTTCGAATTAGAAAAATTTCTCGTTTATGTTTTAATGGAGAAATAAAACATTCTAAGCATTGAATTTGTTAAGTTTGTTTCTCGAATCTCATACACTTTAGGATATTGAACATATCTTAAATAGTTAAATATAAATACAACTTACGTTGACATTATCTTGTTGTGAAAATTGACGATAATATATATATACAACGAGATGAATGAAGGCCGTTGGATGACACGCACGTGGCCTCATCCCAATGTTTGATATTTCTTGTGATAGACATCAATCAATCACATCCTTTAACACTAATACCATTTTTATATCCATAAGGCCTAACTTACGGTCTTTGACTTGATGAAATAGGTTGGCGGCGGCGGCGGCGGCAGTGAATTTTCTTGTCAATTTTGGGATTTGCGTGTAATGGGGTTGGTCCAGCTTCAACTTGCGGGGGAAAACGGGTCATCCGCACTCGAGGGTCGGTTCAACTTCACCTTGTGTTAGTGTACAGAGCGTGAAGTCGCTGAACCATTTGTCATGTAGGATGGTTGAAACCACGTGAGGGTCCTTGTGTAGAGAGGCATAACAAGTATTGTGAAATGTTGAAATTTAAGGTCTGATCAATTATTGTTTTTGGACACGAGTCATAACTACAACATTAGGTCGTTGTTTGGTTTGTATTAAAATCCAATTAAAATCTCAACTCAAATTCAACAATTAATCTTAATCACACATTTTATGAGATTTACAACTTTTCAACCATATATTTCATCAATTTATATCAAAATCTACTAAAATTTTGATTTTAATCCCCACCAAATAAGGTAAATTCAAACTTAAAATTGCACTTTCACTCCTCAAAATGAAATGAAAAAAATATAGTTCTCATATATTCCTTGTNTTTTTTTTTTTTTTCGTATTTTTTAAAAGAATAGTATTGTGAAATGTTGAAATTTAAGGTCTGATCATTTATTGTTTTTGACGAGTCATGACATAACATAATTAGTTGAATCATATTAAATGTGTTTCATTGATGAATGTAGGTAAACTTGTAAGTAGGACTATATTTCAATTTTAAGCTAATGCCAATAAGTCGTATTTATAGAATGGGAAAAAGAACCCAGATGGCAATTTGTTAACATAATAGGCTTTTAAAACTCACTCAATATAAATTAGAGATTCTGATTTTTCGAAGTAGAAATTTTTTCTCATTTATGTTTTGATAGAGTAATATAACATTCTATGCATGGAATTTGTTAAGTTTGTTTCTCTACTCTCGTATACTTTAGGGTATTGAACATATCTTAAATAGTTAAATATAAATACAACTTACTTTGAAATTATTTTGTTGTATTAATTGACGATGAAATATATATACAACAAATAATTTTACTTCCTTATATAATCATACTAAAAAATTCAGACCCTACTGAAATATTATCAGTAAAATAAAAGAAAACAATGATTTTATATTAAATCGCCTTCATACGTAACAATGTAAAAATTGATTCAAACAAGTAGACATAGTGAAAATTGAGGATTTTCATTTTTAGATGTTTTGTTTCAAAGTCAAATTTCAATCGCCTTCATAGATGTTTTGTTTTTCAACACCTTAGTTTTTCTTCTACTTTTATGTTTTCATTGAAGTTTCGTCCCCATGTGCCATCAATTACAATAATTCTATGAAAGAATTGCAGCAACAATCACAAATATTTCGTTTCTCGTAGAATTTATCTAAACTATTCATTTGTGTGATCCACAATTCCAAACCTTTAATTTAATTACAGCACTAGGATAAATGAACTTTTTCGTCCAATTGACCATTAGTTGAAGGGGAAAAAAATGACCTATTTTGACTAATTTTGACCAAATTTAAAAGGTTAAAATAGTAAATTTACATATATTTTTTTTCCAAGCATTAAAAATTAGATTAATTAAAAAAAAAATTCCAAATAAAAAGGAAAGCTTGGCCACCCAGCTCTAGCTCCACCCTCAATTCCTTCACATCTTTTTCAACACCTCCACCCTCAATCCCATCCTCCACGGCTCCACCCCTAAATCAAAATCGGAAAATTAAAGGTTTGAGATAGTGGTGTCAACGAGCCGAGCCCGAGCCTGAAAAAAGCTCGAGCCGAACCCGAGCTTTTTTCGGCCCGAGCCTTAGCGGGCCGAGCCGAGCCCGCTCGATTTTTTATTTTTTTTAAAAATTTTTTCAGCTATTTTAGCTTTAAAAAAATTTATTTATTTATTTATTTATTTTTATTAATCCCAGCTCGGGCCGACCCCCCAAAATGGGACTCGACCCGAGCCTAGGCTCGGTTCCACCGAGTCGGCGAGCTTTTTTGCCACCGCTAGTTTGAGATTATGGATGACACAAATAGAAGGTTTAAGTTAAAGCCTACGAGAAAATGAAAGATTTGAGATAATCACTCTAATTCTATAGAATTTTTTTAGCTCTTCCAAAGTGTTAAGAGACATTAATATCAAAGAACAAAAGTTGAGAATAAAGGTACAAAAGAAAACAAATTAAGAAGCAACCAGTATAATTCAACTTAAAAAGGTATGAACATTTGAACAAAAACCAAGAAACTTCAAAAACCACTGAAATTCAACAACTTTCTATTATCATGATACTTAAATATTAGCTCTTGTTTGGTGGGAATTAAAATTAGATTTTTAGTAGATTTTGATAAAAGTTGTTTAAATATATAATTTAAAAATAAAAAAAGTAAAAGATTAAAATAAAATCAAGATTTTATATTTTTGATATGAGAATCGAGAACCGGATCGACATCGATCAATTCTGAATTTTAATATCGAAAATCGATTAAAAATTGAGTAGAGTCGGGCAAACAATCGGCCGATAGTCTGCTTCTAATTTAGTAATTTAGTTATGATAATTTTTGTCCATCCCTATGTACAATGTATTCCTTCAGTTAAGATTTATAAAAATGTAGTGGGACAAAATATGTGTATATAATCAGAGAGAATGATGTACCATTTATTTTTAATAGACTCGAGGACCTCCCATAATTAAATGTGAAACTGACCCATTGAAAATCCAGCTACCAACTTTCATATTATTGACTTGTTAAGTCGTCGCTCGTTTGACGTCACTTAAATTGACGTCATTTAACAGTTTTTTTTATTTCTTTTAATTAAAAAGAATGGCATATAAGTGTTTGTCAATAGAAATCTGACTTTTTAAGTTTCAAATGGATGAAATAGTTTCTTATGGGTCACTGTGTTAACTAATCTAGACCAACTTATTAACACTATTAAGTTGGAGGACTAGTAGTGCAATTTTCATTTTAAAAATAGAAGATTCGTCTCAGTCGTACCCCCTCAAGCCTTCCACTTGTATAAAAGGCGATCAATAGCTTCCATTTTCCTTCACAGCACTAAAGAAGCACACACGTTACTGCATAATTCATTCTCGAAAAAATATGGCTATGCGCATTCGCAGTCTACCATACGTTATACAAATTTTCTCTCGAATAATTGCTAGTTTAATCATTATGTTGCTTATGTCTTTTATCAGCGCAGTTCATGGCCGAATTCTAAAAATCAATTCCTCTGATGATTTAATCTCAGATGGAATTGATCATGTTGATGACCAATCTGTAGCTCTTACTGCAAATGATGTTCTCGTGTCCGCAAGCACTTGCCAGCACAAATATGGCTTCCTACCATGTGCAGAAAATGCTGGAGGATACATTTTCCAAATACTGGTTTATCAGGGTCTATTAGTATTTGGAGAAATGCAGCTGAGCATTGGGAGCAAGGTGTTCTTTAAAATCCTTGAAAAAAAATTTCACACAAGCAAGTATGTTGGTATCATTTTCCGAATCCTCATGGGGTTACCATCAATGATGATGACGATCAGTAAGTTATAAATTAATCTTTTGTTTGACGTTGACATCTTTTCATTCTTTCCATGAAAATTAACAATTTTTCAGTATTTAGCTCTTTGATTTGATTATGTTGCATAGAAACTTATAATAGACTAGTGCAGCCGATTTGGGAACATTTCGGAAATAAAAGGGAATCTTTAACAGAAGTTCTATACCCTTTTTTTTTTTTTTTTTTAACAAAATTCAAAACCTCTACAAAACGCTAAAGGAAACAATCATTGTTTGTAGTATCTGGAGTTTTCGGTAGCAAAGAAACAGCTCGGTCTCTGGTGTCACTTGGAGTGGGTATCTTTGCTGGAGTCACTGTCTTTACTCTCACGCTGCAGTGGGGTATATGCCTGATTTATGGCGCCAAGAATTTGCAAAAAAACGCGGAGTCTGAGGATTCAGGATCCACAGAAAAATTCAATGAATTAAAAGGTTTGCCTCTTTCACATGAATTAGTTGATCTTTGCTATTAGAATATTTAAGAACTGACAATTCTTTCTTGACTGCAGATACCGGTGTTACTCTTCATGAGGCAACTCATTGTCTAGCTGGGATTATGCTTCTTTCTTTGATTCCTTACATTATTGTGCAACTAGTTGATATCTTCACTGCATCCCGCACAATGCTTTTGATGGCGTGTGTAGTGTCCGCTGCATCTTTACTTTCATATTTTATCTATCAGGTAATATGGTTAAAAGCTAACCTGTATTACTCGCGATTTAATGTACAATATTGCTAATTTTCTTTTGTTTTTCAGATTAGGAATCCCTGGATGCAGATATTAAGTTCAGACTACTTGCAGTATGAGTTTGTAACAAAAATGCTTTTGTATCATTTGGAAAAGGAGGGAAAAATTGTTGATGATGATGGGAATCTTAACCATGATCGCATCAAAGAGTAACTTTTGAAATATTATGTGTAGATTTGCTAATCATATTCAATGAAGGCTCTCATTATATACTTGTCTTTGCAGGGAATTTGATAAAGCAGATAAAAATGGAGACGGAAATATAACAGCAACTGAATTGAAAGAGTTGTTGGAAAAAATCGAGCCAGGGTTGTCCGACAATGATATACAATCAGCTGTTTTCAAGACAATGGAAAATTTTGATCACGACAAGGACTGTAAAATCGACCTACATGAATTCAACAAAGCATGTGAATTATTATATAAAGATGGTGATTTCTTTTCAAGAGAATTTTCTGATGAGGCAAGCTTCCTAATTCATTCAAATTTTAAAACTATTGATACTCATGCAGGTATCTTGTGAAAGTTTTATTTGCAAGATGTTGCTTCCATTAATGTATTTAGAGTCCTATCACTGTTTTGTAAATTCTTTTTCTAACATAGGATATGTGAAAAAAAAAAAATCCAAACTCTTGTCACAAATGTTATTTAACATTAACACCATGCTACTGTCAAGTGTAATATTCATCAATAGTAGTTTTTGAAATTAATTATAAATATATTCCTTATTCGGGTTGATCTGCAGATCTTTCAACAGTTTTGCCTGATGGGAAAAGATCGTAAACTGGGAATTCATCCAATAATGTCGAAATTTCTAATGCATGCTCAAAGCGAACTACTAGACGGAGAATCGCTTATCACAGATGGGAAGCCCAGCATTGAGAGAATTAACAAGTAATTTATTATAATTTACCCGTTTGTTTTCTTGGTTTGACAGAAATTCCTCACAATCTTCTTTTTGTTCGGGCAGGCTCTTCAGACGAATTAACATTGACGGTAACGGCAAGATATCAAAAAATGAATTAGAGAAAACAATCGAGACAATCAAATTCGGAAACATGCAGCCGAAATCTGAGGATGTGGTAAATACGATTTTTTACCATTTCGATATAAAACGTGATAATAAAATTGATGAAAAAGAATTTGTCCGTGGACTAGAAAAATGGCTTGATAAAGCCATTGAAGTTGCTAAATGCCTTGACAAGACTAAAAGTGTGGAAGAATTTGACAAGGTTAGAAGTAAATTATTTTAACTTTCTACGTAAGCTTTTTGTTCTGTTTTGTACAATTTACTGAGAAGTGATCCATTTTTCCTTTCTCCTCCCTTAACTTGCAGAGAGTATGGGAGAAGCTCATTCATCTACGCACTTTCTGGAATTTTGTAAAATGTGTATTTAGAATAGTGTTGGGAGTTGTTATAATGACCATCATTGGAGGACCTCTCACGACTAGTATCCTAGAGTTATCATATGCCATAGGGGTGCCTTCTTTCTCCATCTCATTTGTGATAGTTCCATTGGCAATGAATACAAGAACCTTAATAGAAGCTATCTTTCCAGTCAGTGAAAAGACTCAGAAAACGGCATCTTTAACTTTCTCTGAGGTCTCTCTCTCTCTCTCTCTCTCTCACACACACACACACAAACACAAGCACTCAAACACACTCACACGTACGCAAACATTACAGTAGAGCATTAATGAATTTGTGAAGACTCCCTGGTGAAACATTTTCCATTTGACTTGCAGATTTATAGTAGCGTCGTAATGAACAACATCTCGAATTTGACAATTCTGTTAGCAATTGTGTACGTGAAGGACTTGCCATGGGATTATTCAGCAGAATCGCTAACTATTTTGGTTGTCTGTGCCGTAATAGGGATTTTGGGATTCTCGACTAACGAATATCCTCTCTGGACATGCTCATTAGCGTTTTTCCTCTATCCATTCTCCTTGGTACTGTACTGTTGTGCTAAACTTGTTCTTCACTGGAATTAGCCCGATCATGTTTCTCGGGTTTTTCACTCTCTCCCGCCAAAATAAACATGTTGTTATGATATCTTATTAGGAAAGTAATAAAAGAGATATTATTGCCTACAAGCATCATGTTATGTTCATATCTAGCATTTGAAAACTTCCATAATAAAATGCCAACATACTAATTTAAAAACAATGCGTTAATTGAAACGTGCTTCTCAAACTCAAATCTCTGTTTTCCATAGTTTTCAAAATATAATTTATGCATCAGTGACAAGAACCCAGTTGGAAATACACGAGTACAAATCCAAACTCCGCCTTAAGATCAGCAAGAATCAATTCTATGCAACTCCTCTTGGAAAGTAATTCGTTCATCTACAGTATCTACCTTTAACTACTCTACAAATGAATCGTAGAGAGAAAAATTGAAAATGTAACGCTGTTGCATGGACCATTGCAAATTCTTCACGTTCCAAATTCTTTTGTATTTTTAGTAAAAAGTATTGTGAAATGTTGAAATTTTAGGATTCTGATCCATAATTGTTTGTAGACACAAATATTGACATAATTAGTTCAGTGGTCCCACACGTTTTACTTGGTCATGAGAGCTCTCTTATATTGCAAATTATATAAATCTTCGCAGAAATTTATAGTAATTTATAGAGACATTTCTTCCTTTTTAAACAATTTCCAAAATCTCTTTTCAGATTTATGGGTTCTAAGGATTTTAATATATTCTTTTGAATGGCCATAAATTTTAGGTGCTATCAACTTGGATTAAAAATAGATTTATTATTATTACTATTATTTTTATTTTTTTTTAGATTTCGAAGAATTTCATTAATTTGATGGAGGTTAATATAGATTTGGAGCCTCAAGTATAAATACCAAAATCTTTAGCAATTCTAGCTCCAAACCTCAAAATCGGTCTCTCTCTCTCATAGTTATTAGACCCAATCTGGTAGTCGATCCGAAAAACTCTTCCGATCACCGGATTAGTTGTTCAATCTTGTTATACTGTAATTTTTATTAAAATTTATTTTTGCAACAAAAAGAAAACCATTATTTCAAAATATTATAAAGGATCATTAGTTTCCAAAACGGTCCAAGGGAGGCGATTATAATGCTGGACACCTAGGTTCAAATCACTTGAAGGACAAATTGAAATAACATTTTGCATTGCTCTTTAATAAAATAATATGGTTCAAACATTGAACTGTTGGATTCCCGTTTGAATAGAACGATTATTTAATATTGAACCAGTTCTTGACTAGTTTATTTGCTTACTTGATCAATTAATGCACTCGGATTGGACCGGTTCAACAATTTTCAGTCCAAATAGACCGATTTAGTTCGATTTTAGTAACTATGCTCTCTCTCTTTCAAAATTCTCAATCGGCTTCTCTCTCTCACACCTTCTCTCGAGACTACTGTGAACATATTTTTCTATTAACCCCTTTATATGTATATTTATGTTAACTATAACTTGAATGATTTGTAAACGTTTTAGCACTATTTTTTTTTTGTTGAATATGGGGTGTCGTTAATCAAGTGAAATTAATTTATTTTTTTTTCTTTTTGCAATTGGGTTGAATGAATTACATGGTCTGTGTAAAAAAAATACAATAGAGGACGAGAGCAATATATATGAGATGTTGTCAAAGAGACACCTGACTTGATAATCACACGCCACAAAGTGTCTGCATTAATTCATAAGTTTGGAATGAAAGATGTTTGTTTGGGAAAATGTCGTGAAGAGCACCTGGAGTATAATGTGGAATCAGTTTTGGTTATTTGAGAAAATGTTTAACATTTTGTATTAGGATCATGTGATTTTTTTATTCTTTGTTGAAACTTTGATTTGAGTTATTGTGTTAAATTTTGAGTTGAATATTGTTGACATGTGACCTCTAAGGTAGTTAAGTACTGTTTGTTGTATGTATTAAGCTTATGCTAATTTAAGCTTGGATATTTAAGATCAGCTCGTATTAGTTATTGATGGGGTTCGATGGGACATAATGATTGAAGATTCCTTACATATTGTACAAATAGTCAATCAACAACAAGTGACATTTGGAAAGTCTTACATCAGTGCCCACCAATTCCACCAATCAAATGCCTTAACTTCATTTCCTAATTAGTTCATTAATTGTTGGGGACCGCATGTAATGTCAACTCATAATGACCTGACAAAGCCGAGCTCCATAACCAATCCAAACATGTCAATGATGTACTTTCTTAGCTTGGTACTATTGCTGATAAGACAAGGAAATGGAAAATGCATCCTAACCTTTTCCTATAAAAGGAAGTGTAAGGCCCGGACCAACACACAATATGAGAATCGAAACAAACAATAACCAAAACAGTAAAGTAAAACTGCAGAAAATTAAAGGATGAACACAAGAATTATTTCGGCCGTAGCCCCGGAGGTTCGGTGACGGCTTCCAACACCTACATTCCTCGTTGAGCATCCATAAATAGGATTATGCTCAAATGCATTAAATCAGCCACAAAATGGCAACAAAGGTTACAGAAGTTCGAGAAAGAGGATATGAGACTTATCTCTCAATATACAACAGAAGATAGCCCAAGATTCACTCAGAAATCACCAAGAAACCCTTCGAACACACACTAAGTGGTACAACAGAGAAATCACTCAGATCCTCACAATGTTCATACAGAATATTACAATTGAAGGTAGATCTAACTATTACAATACATTAAATCAGAGATTTACAGTGATATCAACCATAAATGATCAAACCTAATCTTCTTCTCTCGTTTCTCTCTCAAAGCCAGAAACCCTAAAAGTCTCCAGAGAATACGAATGAATCAACTGAAACCAAAAAATCTCGAGCCCAGAGTATATCAATAGTCCAAGCATCCAAAGCCACAAGAGAGCCACATGTCATCAATCCAAGTAAGAGTGCTACACATTTAAGAGACGCGTGATTTGCAAACATGCTTTCAGCCAAAATGTTGGGAGCAGAATAGATGGGCCGGGATCTAGCCCAACAATCTCCACCTTGCTACCAGATTTTGAGCCATTAGTGCACCTAGGAACATAAACACTAATTATTTCATTTACTCTTAGTAACAACATCAAGATCACAAAGAATCAACAGAAATGAATTTAAGACAGTTTAAAAATTTGTTTAAAGAAATCACTTTTGTACCCATATCTGAAGGATTATATTGAGTTGCAATCTTTTCAATCTTTATTAAACCATTAGAAATAACATCTCTAATGAAATGTTATTTAACATTAATGTGTTTAGTTCTATTATGAAACATAGGATTTTTACTAAGATGTATAGCACTTTAATTATCAGAAAACAAAGCAGTTTGCATATCAACAAAACCAAGTTCAGATAATAATCCAGTTAACCACATTCCTTACTTTATAGCATCAGTGGCAGAAATATACTCAGCCTCAGTAGATGACAAAGCAACAATCTTTTGTAATTTAGATTTCCAGCTAATGACAGTACCACATAAGGTATAAAAATAGGATGAAGTTGATTTCCTATTATCTCTATCACTAGCAAAATTTGAATCAGTGTAACCCTTTAACAAAACACCATCTTTATTAGATTTAAATACTAAGCCTAAATCAGCAGTAACTTTCAGGTATCTTAATAGCCATTTTAAAGCATTC